ATTTCTTTGTTTTTTAATTGATAAAACTGTGGTTTTGACCTGGAACTTGAACCAAGGTACAGAGAAAAGGCACCAATAAATGCTGAAGTTGGATGTCTTGCAGGTCATACAGCTTCACAACATTCAGTTATGATGCTTTTACATACGGTTTATTTGTAAGTGTTGCTTTGGGAAATAATACAATTTGAACGCTTGTTGGAGCCATTTCCTACTGAAGGTAAAAAGTGAAGCGATTTAAGTCTTATTGCTTGTGACTGATTACAGGGCGTTTTAAATGATGATGGAAATTCAGTCAGAGACTGTGTGATAATGGAAGGGACTGTTGTGTTCATGAGAAGTTGTCTGTTAAGCTTTCATTTGTGACCAGATGCAGACTGGCATTAGTTGGATAAAGCTGTGAAACAAGCGCAGACACTGAATAAATGCTGGCTGACGGGTTTGACTGACACGCCTACTGCATGACAGGGATTTGAGAAGTTAGCATTATAAGTACAAGTGAATAACTAAGAATGGCATGCCATAGCTGTTTTCGTGACAGCTTTAACACATTCATAATTTTGATTAAAAAAGGGAGATTAGCTATAAAAAAAACCCTGCCTATCTCCATCTTTTTGTTGTCTCTCAAACCTCCAGCTTCCTCTTTATGTTGAGCTGTTGTCCTTGGGCACATCTTTCAGTCTGAAAGTCATCTTTCAGATTTGGCAAATCAGTAAATAATATTTTTTAATGGTCACAGATATTTACACTAACTATTGAAATGCCTTATATTTAACGCACACAACTGTGACATTTCTTCTCAGCCTCTTAATGTCGAAAAATGTCGTAGCCACTTCAGCCAAAGTGGGCAAGTAGATGGTATATTGTAACAAAATAACGTTGTGTAAACACAGAAATATACTCACACACATATACAAATGCAACTACAGCTACCAGCAAGGAAACAAATGAAGAAGTCCAGACTCATCTTTAATGCTGAAAAGATTTTTTTTTAACTTTTGAAGTATAGCAAAGTCACATATTTTCTTCCATAATTGCTAATATTACACTGACCTACACATTATAAAATTCAAATGACATGGAGCTTTGTTTTTGCAAAAGTTGAGTGATCCTCAGTGGACATACCAGAGCACGTAGTTGTTGCTGTGGGTGCAGCTTTATGGTTGCTCTACAGCCACTGGGGTAAGAATTATTCGCAATTGCAAAAGCACAACATCAGAGAATTCTCTTTTAATTAGTTAAGGGACTGATGTACCATATGTATGTGTGTGTCTCTGAGTCTGAGAGTGAGAGAGAGGAACTTAACTGTATTTTAGGGCACAGTAAAAAAAAAAAGGGGGGGGGGGGGGTCATTGGTGTAAGTTTTGGAATTGGTGTAATTAAATAATCTCCATAAAAGAGGGAGATAAATATAAACATTGTTTTTCAGAATTTAAAAAAAATCTATTAGCTAAAAGAAAATGAATCAGTAGATTAAATTTGTGACTGAAATCTGCTGCAATGCTGATTTTCATGTATTGTTTATATTTTGTTGTCTGGTTGTTTTTTGTTGTGATATGAATAACAGTCAAATTTTTTTTGGATATTACATTGAACATCACCTCTATGTTTGAGGTATCAAGTGACTCATGAGCCAAAGCACATGGTTATAGAATCGCACCTTTAGCTTGTTTAGGGGAGCTTATGCCAAAAGGTGTTGAAAGGAAGACTACACTAGATTGAAACTTTAGGAGTAAGGATATGAATTCTCCAAATGTGGGAGTAGAATAGTTTTTTCCCTCTCTCAGCCATATTTGGAAATTCATTCAGGAATACTCCTGGATATGTTTTGTGCAAAAGCTGCATTTTCTAAGGAATTTTCTAAGAAATATCTGAATCCTTCTGATGAAGGTCTTTCTCCTGAAAGCTATTCTCCCTTTCGGCCCATTCAGCGGCAAGAGTATAAACACTGCCGTCTTTTTACTGTCGTACGTTAATCAGGAGCTTTTGAACCTTTTCCAGTTGTGTTCCATTCATGGGCAGAATATCGTGGCACAGCAGATGTCTGGAAATGGTCCAGTTCAGGTATGGGGGTGGGTAGTAAGATCCCTTTTTAATTTTTCTGGACATGGATTTAATACTCCAGAAGTGAAGGAATCAGTGATGTGTAATCTATGTCTGACAGTACAAAGTTATTCGTGATAACCTGTGAACAGTCTGCAGCAGGGAATTCATAAACAGCATTTCTTTACATTATAGAGTTTCTGGAGATGCTTCTTTGCAGTATTATATAATGGCTGAAATTAATGTAATGACGTGATGAATGAGAATGCAAGTTTTTAAGATGAGTTTTTTCTCTACAGCTCACTGCCCTGACTGTTAACAGGAGCGTGATGAATTCAATGAAGGGACTTTGGTAGGGCTGTTGCTGAGTCATTATTTTCCAATTAGACTCTTAGTCAGCGCTTTAAGCCAAATACTCATCTTTTAAGGGATGGCAAGCGGGTTTAAAGTGGAAAGGAAAAAGCTGTTTGATGGTTTTTCCAAATGTACAGCAGTATTATACTTCTACCATACATATTCTTTATTTTGGTCACAAGAAGATCGGATTTTTAGTGTCTTTGCTTAACAGCTTGTCACCACTGCCTCCTGGCATTAATGTTGCTCTTCATTATGTCAGGTAGTTAGGTGTCAGGTGATTTTGAGACTGGGTTTGTAAAAATGTATGTTCTTCGATAATTTTACATGCTTTTTACCACAGAAACTGTGATGATTTGACCTTAAAAATAGATTTCACTTAGCTGCATCATAGCTGATAATCATTTAAGCGTGTAGGGCTCCAGCAATAAGATAAGACAAGGAAAGGAAATGGTTTGCAAGAGTACTTTATAAAATAAATAAAATGAATGACTTCTGACACCTTATTTCCAGATCACTAATGAGAATGAAGCAATTTGTAAAGAAAATTCATCAAAAGGGATAGAATATTTGAAACACTATATTTCAAAAAGTATTCGCTTATCTGCCTTCACACATAGGAATTTAAATGACATTCCGTTCTTAATCTACAGGGTTTAATATGATGATGACCCACCCTTTGCAACTATAACGGCTTCAACTCTTCTTGGGAGGTTTTCCACAAGGTGTAGGATTTTGTTTATGGGAATTTTTGCCCATTCTTCCTGAAACACATTTATGGTTTGGTGTTTTGTGGGGTTGAGGTCAGTACTCTGTGCAGGCCAGTCAATTTCTTCCACACCAAACTTGCTCATTGATGTCTTTATTGACCTTGCTTTGTGCTCTGGTGTGCAGTCATATTGGAACGAGAAGAGCCCATTCCCAAACTCTTCTCACAAAGTTGGAGACATGAAATTGTCGAAAATATCGTGGTATGCTGAAATATTAAGAGTTACCTTCACTGGAACTAAGGGGCCGAGCTTAAATCCTGAAGAACAACCCCACACCATAATCCCCCACCACCAAACTTTACACATAAACAATGGAGTCAGACACATATCATTGTCTTGGCACTGCCAAACACAGACTTGTCTATCAGATTGCCAGATGGGAAGTGTGATCTCCATCTGCACTGCTCTAGAGGCCAGTGGTGGGGTGCTTTACGCCACTGCATCCAACGCTTTGCATTGCACTTGGCGATGTAAGGCTTGATTGTAGCTGCTCAGCCATGGAAACTCATTCCATGGCTCTCTACACATTGTTCATATAGTCTTCAGATTATCTCAAGAAGTTTGGAGGTCTTTAGCGATGGACTCGATGTAGAAAGTTGTCGATCTCTTACATGGCCTACCACTCTGTGGCTGAGGTTTTGTTCCCGATTGCTTCCAGTTTATTATAATACCACTAACAATTGACTGTGGAATATTTAGTACCAAGGAAATTTCACAACTGCACTTGTTGGACAGGTGGCTTGCTATCACGTTTCGATGTTGAAATTCACTGAGCTGAGAGCGACCCATTCTTCATATTTCTGACAACATAGTGTATTTCTACTAGAAGTTTTGGTCAAGTTACTTGAAAATAGTAATTAGTTACTAATTACTAATTACTTCTCCAAAAAGTAATCCAGTTACTTTACTGATTACTTATTTTCAAAAGTAATTCATTACTTTATTACTTAGTTACTTTTTAAAAACATGATAAACAACCTAAATATGTTATGAAACAACAAACCTTTCAGCCCAATTCTATTTTTTCTGCAAAATCCATCATATAAAATTGAATCAAATGAAAAAATCTGTTTTTAAATCTTGTTTTATTATTTTTACAGGAAAGTAACAGTAATCTAATCACCTTTTTTTTTTTTTTTTTTTTTTGCAATAGTAATCGGATTACAGATCGGATTTTCTGCCAATCTTTGTCTACTAGTAGGAAGTATTTTGATACTGATGGTTTATGCAGTCTGTTGCTAGCGTAGTGCTATTCATTGCTCTTAACTCATTGCCCTTTTCCGAAGATACCCACAGTAGCCTGTAATGTCCTGGTGTTCTGGTATGTTTGGACTGTGCATGTCAGACTAAAGCTAATTTTTGTGTGTCTGCAAATGGAACTGCAGGTTGTGTGTATCTTTAAGAAGTAGAAAACAGGGAGGCAGACATAGCTGCTAGTCTTTGTGGCTGCAGATGTGGCATCAACAGGCACACACACCCTGATGGGGCCTTCGTTTTTTTTACTGTCTTTTCATCTCTTTCACTCCTGTGCAGGCTCAGCAATTTTCTCACCTATACTTCTCCCCTTTCCTTTCCATCTGTCCCTAAGATGTAGTGATGATGGTGTGTGTGTGTGTGTGTGTGTGTGTGTGTGTGTGTGTGTGTGTGTGTGGTGTGTGTGTGGTGTGTGGTGTGTGTGTGTGTGTGTGTGTGTTTGTGTTAACGGAGGTGCCACCTGCCACTGCACACCCAAAGTACTGGCAGCCTAATCTAATCTCCCTCCTCCCTCTCTCCCTTCCTCCCTCTTTTTCTCCCCCCACTACTGTTCTTTCCCCTTATCCTCCCTCATCCTTTCAGGTCTCGGATGTTATCCTTTCTTGTGAGCCTCGAACAACATTTCATCTAGCCAGGTGAGCTTCTCAATCTCTCCCCCTTTCTCTTTGTGTTGTCATCTCAGCCTCTGTCTCTTCCTCTCTGTCTCCACCGCATATGCTTTTGGGTGTTGCTGCAAAGATGCTGCGTCACTGTGCCTGTTTCATATGGACACAATTGCTGTTTCAGACCAGTAACAGAAAAAAACAAATGTTTTTCTCTTGTTTCACTTCTTTCTCCTTTTGAGCCACCTTGTCATGCTGGGGAATTGTTTGTGTATGTGTACCTGAATTTGTGAAGGTATTGTTTTTATGATGAATCCAGCAGTCTGTGAAAGTATAACAACATGCATTGTGTATCTGTCATTTGTTCAGTATGTCTGAGAGCATGTGCCTGAAACAACTGTGTGATTAGTGCTTTGTGTGTGTGTGTGTGTGTGGACATGTCTAGACGGTCCCAGACAGGCAGTATGACTTTCATGTGGTTAATGTGCAGATTGGAAACGTGCATTATCCCAACTAATGAAGACACTGCAGATTCACTCTGATTGTCAAAAATTACTTCTGCTTTCAAGTGTTGTCAACTGGTATCCAATTGGATGCCACTAATTGAAAAGTTGGAAGAAAAATAAATGATGAAATCACCAACCTCAGCTTTTATCTTTTTTATCCAGTTTTGGATGAAGCAGTATAGCTACGGTGGCCCTGAGAGGTCAAATGCACTACTTAGGAAAAAATAAGTAAATAGAAAAATGCTGCAAAAGCCAAAAGAAAAAAATTATGAAAGAAAATGGAAGTGTTTTTGGGAGATAATGATGTGATGAAACAGCTGCAAACATCACAAGCTAACAGTAGCAAACATGAATCAAATAGACACACATCACCTGCATTTCACTGTCTGTTTCGAATCTCAGTGTAATCCTTTGCATGTTTTGCTTTCTGTCACTTCCGCAGCTTGTCTGTCAAGTTATCATGTCCCAGAGACACTTCAGCTTTCCTTTGTGATTTTAAAAACAATGCGCGTGTGTGTGTGTGTGTGTGTGTGTGTGTGTGTGTGTTGTGTATATATATATATATATATATATATATATATATATATATATATATATATATATATATATAATTGAAGTCATTTTGATGTAGTAATTATTTCAGTGGTGTAATGAAGCTTCCATACTGTATATCCCAGCTGTTCACTAGCTTCAACTTGACTATTTAACATTTCAGAAGCAACACATCAATATCAGAGATTAATGATTTAACACTACAATACAATACTACAATTTGACCCTATCACACAACAATAGCAACAATGGCAGAGAAGTAATTTCTTAAAGAAATTATTAAATTTTTAATCCAAATTTTTGCCAAAATTTTCAAGTATTTTGGCTAAATAGGTATTCAAAATAAATGTTTGGGGGTTTTATTAGTTTTAAAAATTATTTACATTATTTCTTTCAAAATTGTAAACTTAAAATATGCATTAAAATTCACTAATTCATAGTTTGCTAATTGGTTAAACATAGAGAACTATAGTGGAGTCCAAATTCCAGAAAACATTGGCTGTACTGAACAGTGCTCAGTGATTTTCATCGTTTTAAACATGTTTTTAGTGCTCTTTCAATTCACTGCAGTTCGTTGTCTATGATTACTTCTGTTTTCTTCATCTTAGAGGCTATGCTCTAGGACCAAGAACATGACAAGCACAAACAAGTGTAGCTCACACTACTGGATGTACTAACATGTATTTTTTTTACACTGCCCTATGTTTGGCAGCTAAAGACTACCAGCACACCAACAAGACACTGTCATGCCAGATACTAAGAGCAATAACTCGCTTTGCTCAAGGCTTATCATCACTGTCAGTTCAAGACAACCAGCAAATAAAGGTTTTTTAAAATAAAAAAATGCTAGATAACTGTTATCAAATGATCAAACATCAAAGTGTTCTTATGCAGTGTGTCTTGAAGTTAAATTGATGTATTTTGAATCAGTTTCAAAGATATTAGGAAAAAATACAACTGAAAAAGATGACATAGTTGTTTTTTTTTTAAATGTTACACAAACAGAGTCTTTGTTGTCACTGGTCATCAGTCGGTTACTGCCGCCCTGTCAAATATAGTGAAATTACAGCATTCAGGCCTCTTCTGTTTTTGAACACTTTATTTGCAGGGCTCGCAAAATCGCTAGCCCAACGTCCCGGGGCTAGCGATTTTTCCAGTCGGGCTACCAAAAACTAACTCAGCCCTGCCCGTCGGGCTATCATAGGAAGGAAAATATATGTCTATGCTTTTGCATTCTTTCGCCAATGTAGCTGAGTAATTATGTCATTGGCATCGGTGAGCCACTGTCAATATGTGACATATTGAAATCGCGTTTGAATTTGCGCTTGTTTTTTGCTTTCACTTTCATTTTGTGATTGCGCGAAAGGTGTGTAGAGAGCAGCAGCACTGATTGGTGAGTGACGATTAATTGCGCACCAATTCCTCTGACATCGTCTTATCACTCATTAGCTTACTATTCAAACATGACAAGTGAAATCTCTCGCAGCAAGCTTAAACATGTGAGAGGTTGAGTGCGCAAAGAATCGCTGACCGTTATGTAAGTACGTGTATAAAAGCAGCAGGATTTACGCTGGTATTTTAGTTCTGCTCAGCCAAATAAGACAGGTCAGGGTGAAGAAGGGGCAGCCAAAGAAAAGCTTACCACAAAACGGAAAAGTTATGACAAATCAGACTATGAGGCAAAAACAAAGCGCAGCTTTTTTTTGGTTTCATGGACAAAAGAATTTCTGTGGCTGGAATATGACAAGCTAAATAACATGATGTTCTGCCAGGTGTGTTGTGAGTTTCATTTGATTTCTGAGTCGACAAGCGCCTTTGTTACTGGGACTAGTAATTTTAAGAAAGACCCCATTACAACCCATGAGAAATGCAAGAAATGTATTATTGCCCAGTCTGCAGTATCTTTCCCAGAACAAACAGCAATTGCAAAAAACATACTAAAAATAAACCAAGCACAACAAGAACTCCTGAAAAAGCTGTTTAGAACAGCGTGCTATATTGCAAAGAGTGAACAACCATTGGCAAAATTTAGCAGTCTTTGCAAACTTCAAAAAGCAAATGGCCTTGGTTTCACTTACTTCTTACCCGTGACTTCAGTGGAAATTTCAGATTCAGGATCTGACACAGACTGATTCATGTTCTACACAGTTCTTACAAGTTAATAGAAATCTCTGTTCCATTTGAACCAAGTATTTGAGTTGATGATTGTAATTTTTATACAGTTGTTGTGATTTTTATTTTAACAATTTTTTTGATTAATTTTTGTTTCCATTACAATATTATATTGTAATGGAAACAAAACATTAAAAAAAATTGCTTTCTTCTTTATTCGGGCTACTTAAATTTATTTTGGGCTACCAAAAACTGAAGAATGCCTTCCCGAAGGGCTACCAGAGATTTTGAAATTTTGCGAGCCTTGATGTGTTATTGAGTTGATTTCATTTTTTAAAAAGATTAACTTTCCCATCCATAACCCATGATGCCAAAGTGAAAATATGTTTTACATTTGCTATCCAACAAAACCGGCATTATGTGAACCACCTTGGTAGGACTGCTGCCCACTGACCAAAGAAACCCGTGGATATTAAGAGAAGGATAAATGATGCCACATACAGAGAGAGCCTAAACATAATCCTCATCCCGGATTTTTAAAAGTTGTTATTCTACTTTGTACCATGCATCTTGTTATTGTGGGCTATTGAATATACATTAGTGGGAAATTGCTTTTTTTTTTTTTTTGTCTGTGTAAAATTGAACCTACAATGCAGTCACATTTGTAAAAACCAGGACATTTAAAGCATAAAACCACTGTATGTAACAAACTTGTGAACCTTTGCTCTAAGCAGTTTTCTCCTTACTGACAACACACCAGTGAGACTCATATTTAATTATTTATTCACTCTAACTGGCTACAGGTGACAATTTTCACTGCCACCTTTAATGCTGCTGTTTCTACAATATTCATAGCCGTTCAATCAATAATAATCATTCAGCTCCAGGGTCTACGTTAGTGTTTCTCACTTCCTCTTGCACTCTCTTCTAGAAACACACACACACACACACACACACACACACACACACACACACACACACAACAATCAGTATGGCTGAGCAGGGTAATGTTTGTCAGTTTCCGTGTATGTTCAAACACAATGAGAACACCTGATGTGAAAACATGCAACCCTTCTGCACGTCTCGCTTTCCCTGCTGTCACCATGAGGGAAAACGTTAGTGGCATTTCCCAGCAGGTCTGTTTGACCTTCTCTCGTTTGTTTAGCCTCTACTTTCTCCTTTGCTCCATCACAATTTGGTGGCTAAACCAGAAAGTCAGGCAATCCTTACCAGAGAATGTTTCACTTACATATTATGTTTTATAAGGGAAGCATTCTCAGTTGTGTGTCACAAAGTTGAACAAAAATATTAAAAACTCGCCCGCATCAGGATTACCACAACAACTGCAGAGATATGGATCAGCTTTTGATCGATACAGAGCACAAGAAGTGCTGGAACCTTTATAAAGTCCAGGATTTGGCTTACTAAGGTCTAGGGAACAACCAGTAGTGAACTCACTTAACAAAGGCCACATATATAATAATGTAAAGCTACATAACATAACATTTGAAAAAGTAATAATGGCCTTTCATTTGATTTTAATGTTAATTAAATTAATGTTAAATTAGTCACTTAGAATCAGCAACCTTAATAGTTATGATAAAGAATTGATGAAGTCTGTAGCAATATGTTGTGAGTGGAGGTTACTGTAGACAGGGAGAGAATGTAATGTTGGTATTGTCAGCCACTGCAGCAGTGACGTAATGGCCCAGACTCCCTCCATTCCTAAGGCTAGACTCTTTTATTTTCTTTCTTTCCTTGTCTACCTCTCCCCTGCATCTTTTCATCTTTTCTTCTCTTCATATCTAATTTACTCATTCTGGATTTCCACTTTCGTGTTCTCAGCTCTCTTTATCTTCATTT